CATTCTGAATAGGGAAAAAAAGGTGCTTGGACGACTTCCTGCTCTGGATCCATGGTGGGTGTTTGTGAATGACAACGCAACGAATACCATCGACCAAGTAAGTTAAAGGGGTGAGTTGCACACAATAGAAATCCTGTCTCAGAGGGGTCCGTGGAAGAAATATTGAATGGAATCTGGATAGAGAAGACTCTCTGGCGCTGCCATTTGGGACTCAACACACGTGGACAGTCAATCAAGCCATTGATCATTCGACGGATAGTCACAACCCGTTCCGTGAGTTTTCAGAGACCAGAAATTCTGTTGACAATGCTTTCAGCTGGTGAGAACAATGGCAGATCCAAACATAAACTGTCCGTAGAAACTATCAACTATGCACTAAACAGTTGGGAAACTGAGAGATCTGTTTCTTTTTCTAAAGGCAAAACCCGGCTATACATTCATCCCCAGAAAAGCACTATACACCCTAGTCTGTTATATGTGGTGCTCCATTGGCAAAGCAGTGACTGCGACTTATAAGGACCTGTATTGTTCATTGGTTTTGTAAGTAGTATGGGTATAGTTAAAATTTCACTGCGAAAGGTAACTACATGAATTTCGTATCACACGGATAAACTAGTTCAGTTTAAGGTAAAAGGCCTGCGCTGGGAAAGCGATCGCTCCGTCCAACGCGAATGACTTAGTTGAGAGGCATTCACCCGATGAACTTGACGAACACCGCCGGTTGTTAACCAACCACATACATAGAAAAACTGTAGACTGCCACTTTAGGACGAGGTTCCTGCAAAATGGGGAGCGGTATATCAACCTGTTCACCTGATACGCCACGAGCGTCAATAAAATACTGTACCTGATCTATGCGGTGTGGATGAGGCCGAGAGTAGATTTTCAGTCTCGAAGTACTAGTGGTAAGCAATGGAAGCAGATGATGCATTTTGGGCATAGTACACGGGCGATATCGTGAGTGTAATGAGTGTTATTTGCCTCCTGATTGCTGGATCACTTCGTAAACGACCTTTTCAGTAAGTAAGGATATCACACATCCAGGGATATTAGCATGCAATTTGTCACTAAACGGGACATAATGCATAATGACAGGTAAATATTGGTAATTGATCAGGTGGCTGTTGATCTGTTCGCCGAGCTTGGCAATTGATTTGCAAACGTTTCGTCACCATTCGAGGAGACATCTTCAGTGCGCCAACCAACAGCGCACTGAAGATGTCTCCTCGAATGGTGACGAAACGTTTGCAAATCAATTGCCAAGCTCGGCGAACAGATCAACAGCCACCTGATCAATTACCAACCAATACACCCGAGCTACCAATATTCCAACACATTACCAACAGGTAAATATAAATATTTTGCTAACTTGTCTGTTGCTAATACTTACCGTACTTTCTGACATGGTTATTACATGCTAACTGTTCGTCAACCCTTGGATAATCTTCGCCGCCTAATGACTTGAAATGGTGGATTCGGTCAGCGCGTCGATTGCGGCTAGTTTCATACCATCTCAGTATGATCACCAGAGGGATTCCAAAATAGTCTGTTGAACAGTGCCAACATTTAATTGTTCTGGAGCATCGTCGAACAGTTCGTGTCGGTTTTGTTTATCAGTTACCAGCAACGTCCCAGTGAGAACTAGGGGTTTGATTCCACCGAAACATCGTTTCAGGATCACTCTTTTAATTCTTTTACATGGGTATAACGGTCGCTCCTTCACATGTGCCATGAATGTGCCTATCATACCTGGTCGGGCAATTCACACTGAGGTTGAATGAAACTTTAGTTGAAAGTTCTAACGTGAAAGCTGTAAAAATACCAAGATATAGTAGATTTTGTAAACTGTTTGTTGTTTCTTTCCGGCGACAGGATGACTTTCCTAAATTGGTTGAAAGAGTGTTGTTATTCAGTGTGCAAAATCGATTCGTGAGTTTATCAAAACACGGTAAGTATTATGGTGAAGCACTCTTCCAAACAACCCTATACATCGGTACTAAGAAGGCCAGCANATAACTTTCCTAAATTGGTTGAAAGCGTGTTGTTATTAAGTGTGCAAAATCGATTCATGAGTTTATCAAAACACGGTAAGTATTATGGTGAAGCACTCTTCCAAACAACCCTATACATCGGTACTAAGAAGGCCAGCACGAATTCAGAACAGATACTAGACACACTTTGTGTTCATTGAAAGAGATCACACTGATTGTTTTCCCCTATGGATTAGGACTTAGTCAATATGGCCTTTGTGTCAAAAACAAAGAAAACAGACCGTTGACCAAGTCTTTCGAAAACGATGATACCTCAACCGATCCCAAACTTTTCCCACTAGTAACTGAGTTCTCTAATTGATGTTGGTCACCTTCGAGGAGCTTCAAAGAGAAAGTGGGAAAGTAACCATCAACAACCGTCATAGAAAGTTGAGAAAGCAACCGATAGCACAAATGCCTACGATAAGCCAAACGCACGTCGTTTTGTTTGGATGAGCTAGCCGGATGGCTGAACAGCCTCTTGCGGGAGGAAAGTGTTAGATCAAACAAATCTTCAACAATGTTACCCTCTGCGCCTTTCATGCTGAGGTGAACGCAGCTACAAGAGATCGATGGATCAGTGTGAGTAAGTTGGAAGAGTGAGACAGCTTTACGCTGAATTATGTTACTGTACTATTGAACACCGCCCGAGGCTCAGAAACCACAGCTGTCTGGTTGGCCATAAGTATCAAACCATTTAAGTTGACTACACGTACTTTCGTTGACCGCCTTTGCATGTAGCGACGATGGTGATGTAGAGAGATTATGGACCTGGGGTGGGCGATGACTGTAGTGTTTACAAAACAGCTTTGCTCGGTCAGGGACCTGAATTCATTTGTTGCTTTTTAAACTCGGTTTCAATCAGGGAATACAACACAAGCCTATATGGGGTCAGCAGATGCTATTTTCATGAACAAAGGACAACAGGATTCTGAGGAAAACAACAACTGTTTTGTTCGCCTAAGTAATCAGGGTTGTCTTACTGATCAGGGGGCAAAGCGGTGATTGGAGGCGAAACAAGCAAAATCCGGTGCAGCCCAATCAGCTGATTCGTTTTGTATTCAATGTTTTGACTTAGAGTTGAGGAACGAAATCAACCTGCCTGATAAATAAGCGTCTGGTCGTCAAATAGACGGCAGGTATCATAGAGACACTCAAATTTTTGTAGATTATTTTTTGAATGTATGTCAGGAAACTATTTGGGACGCTATAACTCGTAAGGACACCCAAATATCGACAGAGAAGAGGATAAAGACGATAAGGACGACGCAACGCCAGATGATTAAAGCAGCACAATAAAACTTTTGAAACACCCCGTTTAGCAACTTTTTCCCACAGTGAAGGTAAGAGGCTAATATACTCGATAACATGTCGAATATCCGGGTAAAAATACGGAAGAAAACATTCAACTAAAAACATAATGTCGATCTAATTTAGTGGTGCCTAAGTTCGGATTCCTTTTTTCCATGTAAGTAGGTCATTTTTATGCCACCTATTACGCAGTTCGTTCTATGTCAGTAGCATTTACAATTCTGAGGATGACGTTCATCGGAGTGAGTTGCACCGAGTATCGAGTGCCTTTCCGTCCTTTTAGTGTTTTTGCGGACATTCGTGAGTCCAGTTGCTGGGCGGTAGCAACTAATAGCGTGTGTTCTCAGGATCAGCCTACTGACAGCTTAAGTGGGACAGCAAACTAGTGGAACACGGTTTATGGTCGTCAGATATAGCCCTTTTACTTTGCAGTACACGCTCTGCTTGTGATGACGATAGGGAGACTTTTATCACAAAACGGGTGGAGAATAAAGTTGGGAGACGGTTTATTGGACTACATCCATTCGACTAGGAACGTGATGTTCGTCAGTTGCTTTAGAGGTTTAGTGGCGATTATATGACGCAAACACTCCTCAAGCACCATTTATACAGGCATTGCGTCCGACGAGCGAACCAGAGAACAAAACGTATGTGTTGAACCTATTCGAAGTCTTTTTAACGACAAAGGTTCCGCTTTGTCGTCATTCTCGTCGTCATCTGAGGCACAAAATGTTCCTTCAATCACAGTGGTACCAACACCTGTCTTCTTGGTAAAAACGGTCACCAAGAGACTTTATGAGAAGTACAGTCGTTGCAAACTGATGATTGGCTGTTTCGTCCAGTGTATTTTGTAGCCCTGCAGAGCCAAAATATCCGTACAATAGAGGTAACTAAATTCTCTCTCTTTTGGATGTTCGTCTTTGATACAAACGAAGGTTAGCACAACGCCACTGGAGCCCCACATGCATGCCATTGCTGCTCGATGCCGGCGAGTCCTTGGGACGTCCTTGCAGGACGTCGAATATGGTGATGTAGATATGAGGCATTGGGGAAGATGCAGCTCACTAGGACCTACATGTCATTTTGAGTATGGGTCACGAAACAAAAAGTGCTCGAAAGTGCTTGGGAGTGAATGCCTTCCGGAAATCCACATGGAGCGGTCAGTCTCAGTTTTCTTCTAATTTTATACCAATGGCAGACAGGTTTGGGCTAGCTAAAACTCCACACGTCCACATTACGGAGCAGTTGAGATAGGAAGCCATTACTGGAAAAGACTTTGATTTCCACTGGCTAACCTGATCAGTATATTGAAATTCTACAGTGCCCCAAAAACAGATGCAATGCAAGGTGTGCAGAAGGACCATGTTTATCTGTTTCTGTAGTATATAGGCTTCTGCTCTAAGATGTGTATACGGGACTGCACAAATAAGGTAGATCCAAACTTACTATGAGAACCGTTTGCTGGCATCGTTAAATGACCAGTTTAATGCAAAATTAGCTACCTAACGTATGCTACAAAACATCACGCACAAACCAGAGCGGGAAAAATCAAGGGGAACGTTTGAACACCAAGCCTACCTAAAATCGGAGTACACGCAAACCAGTTTACAATAAAACAGTTAGCTGGAATGTAGTCCAAAACATTACATATATACTTACCAGCAAGAGGAGTAGCGCCACAAGGATGACCCCAACAACAACGAGGATGAAAGCTGCTGGGAGCTGTTTTTTTGTGTAGCCTCTTAGAGGTGCGGCAGATGCCGTCTCATATGCATCCACAGAAACGGAGGGAGTTATTGCGATATCCTCAAACGGGAATTGGTTTGTCTTATGTCGTCCTGGTTGCTCCGAAGGGTTCGGGTGATTTTTTTCTACTCCACTACTGAGGAAATTTCGAGGTTTGAAAGTTTGGGACAATCCGTTCAGAGATTTCGACTGAGTTGTCACACCTTCGGCGGCTTGCCCAAGAGACTGAGTGGGAAGGATCGATAGAATCAAGGATACGGAAACACATTGAGGGATAAAGTTTGGACAGCTCCACCTAAACTGATTCCATCGTGAATTTCGGAGTTTTGTCACCAGAACATAAACAAAGGAAATCCATTTGGTGAGATCAGAAATCAATAGACGCGCATAGAAAACCCCACAAGTCAAAGTAACAATTTGGATGCAGATGTGAATCTGCCTGAGACATTGATCAGCAATCTGGTGTATACATCCAAAAGCTGAGTTCTGACAGCCGTCACATTGCAAACGAAGCGTCCTGTCTATCCTAGCGGACGAGTGCGGAGCGACTGTACTCGCAAAACACACATGCTCGATCCAAACGCATAGAGTGCTCAGAAAACAGGAGAGCAGCTGTGAAATTCTGTAAATAAACCGCCAGTTTCGTTGTGACCAGCGGGTAGAGGTGAGCAGTGTCTGTGAACCACAGACCAGTGCTAGGGGAATTCGTCTCTTCCCATTCACATAACTGGCGTTTAGTCCCACACACAACATGCATGAACGTAAACATACAGGTGACTGACGAAAACTAGACAAAAGTGGTCGTCTGGATTGACCGACATGGACCAATCAGCACGCGGCAGAAGATTTTGAGCAGCCAATCATCATTTAGCAACAGTATTCGAAGCAGCAGAGTCCTCCGGGATAGAAATGCCGGATGGGACGCAGAAAACTGTAAAACGAAAACAAGGAGCAAATGATGAATCGATCACGGATGAGAGAAAAGGTATAATTGTGACTGTAGACTGAGACTGGACAGCTCAGCTTGAGCAGTTGGCGTGTAACAGTGACTGGTACTACAACATAAGTGATAACAAAAGAAAATATAATGAACTGTTGAGATTAACTGACTAAACATTACTCTTTGGGATGCATTGATAACTTACAGAATATCGAAAAGCAGATAAAAAGGAAGTCAGCATAGGCAGAGTATGCAACAGGGTTCACATAATTGCATTAAATCCAGGCATATTGGCTAACCAACCTACTGGAACAAAACGTGCTCAATGGCCATTGCACAAAGTTCCATTTTCAGCTCCAGGATTATCTCCAGACAAACGGTTACATGCGCTCAGTTAACCAAAAACAAATAAAGAAGCACAAAGTGGTTATGACGAAAGTTTTCACAGGCCAAGAATACTGTATGCGCGACCGAAATTCACAGTTTTGCCAGTTGTCTTTATGTTTCCAATGAGTGACTAGTAGTCGGTCATTATTCAGAATTGTGAGATGTCGGTCGTGAACTGCAACTTGTACGACATCCATCAGAGTTTGGTTACCGATGAAGTGCGCGGGCATGTATTTTATCAGCTGCTCCTACGATTGTGATAGGAGTAAAGGGTACAGATCGAAACATGGCTGTCCATAGTACGGGTGTGATCATCCGGACTAGACTTCTCAATTCTGTAGGAAATTTTACCGCTGTAATTCGATGTGATAGAAAAATGTCATCATCATCATCATCCTCGACAGCATGACATCAGTGTTCAAAGCCGATGCTTCACTGCCGTACTGGACGGCCGATGTGGCATGAGTTTATTTGTGTATGTGCAATTCATGGTTGTACGTGGGCTGGGATACTGCCAGGGCGCCCACACCTAGACAGGAGGACGATTAGGGTCCTCAACCAAAGCCTTTGGCTCAAAAGCCTAACCGCAAGGCAGCGGTGTTTAGCGGGAAATGCAAATGCATTACCATTTCTACGGAACAAGTCGCCACATGTTCCAACACCCAACCTGGAGGGCCAGGAGACTGTGTTCGTCAGACCTCTAACCAATGACCGACCTGGTATGAGAGACTCTGTGAGTGTCGCGAGACAATCTCCAGTATAGCTCAATGGATCGCTGAGATGCGCAAACCGTCACACCACGGTAAGGTCCAGTCTCCTGAAACATGAGGTGGCCTGGTGCAGCACATTCAGTTGCCTGAGAACATCATAAACGAGAGATTCAACTGGGTTCCAGGTGAGTCTCTCGAAAGAACCAAATTAGTTTGCAGATGAGTGTATATTCGCTAATATTCCTACAAGTTTACATGAGTCTACCAGCGAAATGGCTGTAAATTTGGATACTCACACACTTAAAGGGAACATTGGAGACGGCGATTTTGCCGCTTTGGTTCTCACCTGCGGGCAAATCGAACCTATTACTTCACACATAAGCACAATTATTACGATGGGATACATTCATTTTGCAAGAAGTGTAAACTCCGAAGTTTTTGCACTCGATCAGACACTCAGAATGACGTACACAGGTGTAACAAGTTTCCAAAAATAACCCCTATAAGTTCGGATCATATCATAATCATTGCGTGCCTAATTTTTCACATCACGTTGACCTGTTTATACCTCCTATATTCCCAACGAAGCTCGCGGTGAACTCCAATGAGCTGAGTAGTATAGGTAGGCCCAATGATTAGCCCACTCAAACCATTAGCACAGCAGCTGGAAACAGTCTTAAGTCAATAAGTGGTGTCGTGGCATTACGTATTCGAATCATATTTTGGTCGACTACCTTTCTCTCCTCATGTAAAACTTGCGTGGCCGAGCAGTATCCCAGCCTTACATGGCAATCAGTAACGTCAAACAAAAAGGCCTATAAAACATCCTCCATTAGCCGGTATCACTATTCGAGGAGCAAGAACAAAACGAGAACGCGAATTTATGGAGGCGTGGGACTCCACCGAAGAAGCCATCAACAAACACATCGAAATTGATCCCATTTACCAGCCACTAAAAGCGAGAGAACGCCAAAACCACAGAACTTAGAGCTGCAAAACCGACCATACGAGGAACTCATGCAAGAAGCAAGAAAGCGTCATTCAAACGGACACACCAATTGGATTGGAGGAGGCGCCCAATCAAAGCACCAAATCAACCGGCGGACGCAGGGGCACTAACCGCCACGGTGGAGGAAATAGGGCGGTACAAGCAACCAATCAAACTCGAGAACGGCAGACCACAACGCAATGCGAATCAAGGCCAGAGAGAACAAGCTACTAAAATTAGAAGCCGTTGGGATAACCAATCAACACAAAGGAACACAGACCACAACGCAACAAGGATCACAAACGGACCAATAGATTCACTAGACTCGTTACACGTCAGGTAGCCAATCACATCAGAAGATAACAGATGACCTTTGACTGCTATATAAACACACGCAGGCAAGGAAGAAGTACCCACCCAACTGCGCACTGATGATGTCTCCTCGTATGGTGACGAAACGTTTGCAAGCCAATTGCCAAGCTCGGCGAACAGATCAACAGCCATCTGATCAACAACC